GGGTGGGGGGGGGGAGGCGGGAGGTAGAAGAGTGCAAAAAGCAAAGATGTAGCAAAAAAGGAAAAAGCAAAGTAAGAAACCGGTTTTTTCCAGTTGGGCCAGGTCGGGGCGTCGAACCTTCGTGCACCGCAGCCTCCCTCCGAGAATAACTTGCATGCGGTGCTACCACCGCCCGCCACTCTCTTGCGCTACTCGCGTATAGTTGCCCTAGGTCCGGGAAAAAAGAAAAGGCCGCCAGCCCGGCAACCGGCCGAGTTCAAATAAAAAGAACGCGAAAGAGATGAGAGTGCTCTCTTGGCGTAGAGGCGAGAACCCCTTGGAGGGTCTTAGAGAGAAGAGAGAGAGAGAGAGAGAGAGAGAGGAAGGATATAAAGAAAATAAAGAAATGTCTCGTGGAAGATCAGCAAGACGAAAGAGGGTCCGAAGAAACGAATGGAACAAAGGTGAAAAAGATAGTTGAGCTGATAAAAACAAGAAAGACATGGTCTACGAGTGGGAGAGAGATAGAGGTAGGAACTCAGCAGTGTTAAGTAGGAAGGAACGAGCAATGAGAAAAAGACATGAAAGAGTATAGGAACCGGAGGAAAAAGAGTATAAAAAAATAAAGGAAGAAGGAATGGAGAGCAAGAAGGCCCCGAAAGTTTTGGGTCATTGCCGCAGACCTGCGGTCCCGTGTTAGCCTTTCGCTTTTTAAATAAACCCGTTGCAAGGTTGCCCACCATACTTTTTTTTTCTCTTTCTTTACGTTCAATCTCTCGTTCTCCTCTTTTTCCCCCTGTTACCTCCCTTCAGGCGAAACCTTCGCGCTCGCGCAATCCATACCTACACGCGGCCAGCGAGCATACGACGTGCGAATATGATTGCGCCTATGTGCGCAATGTATAATTCGAACGTACAGACGGAAAAATAGAGGGGAAGGAACGGAGGTGACAAGGAATTGGAACGAGTCTAAAGAAAACATTAACGTACTCGACAGTAAACGATATGGATCAATAATTAACCGCGTTCGCGTTAATCAATTGAACAATAGTATCTCGATCGTGAGCTACGTACGCAATTTTGAAGGACGTCGAATTTGACTGTTCCGAAGAATCTCCATCCACTGTATGATTTACAGCCTTTCGAAGAGAGTCTTTCACGCTTTGATACTTATTTTCATCTAAAGACACTCCTTCCCGTTGCACTCCCTAAGCGAGCATGTGATCCCTTAGTACCAACGATACTATAACAACCGAACCGTGAACGATGAAATGGAGCATTTGGTTAATTGATTCAAAATTGAAAAAAAAAATATACAGAACTCCGTTAAAAATCGCTCACGGTTACTTTTACGTTCTCCAGTTTAAAATCCCGGGCTTATCGCTTGACGTTCCCACGAAACCTATAATCCATGAGAAATCGTTAATTCACTATTATCCTTTGGACAATCACTGGATGTTGTGTAATATTTAAAAATATGTAAGACCCTTCGAGCAAGGCTTGGTCGCGGTGGTGGCGGTGGTCCAAAGGGGCCTTAGTGTCTCACTGGTATCGTTCTGTTCTGTGCCCGCCTGTCCTGCGCTTCTGGTGTACACACGCATTACTCTGGGGTGGTATTCTCTGGGGTGGCACGCTCTCACTGGTGTACGGGGTATCGCCGTGTGAACTACGACTCGGCCAAAAAAGGAGATGCAACAGCGTGTTGTGTTCCAGCAACACGCCGCCCTGATCGGCGGTCCCAACGCAACCAGCTGTCCTGTCTGCCACAAGCTCTTCCTCGGCGGCGAAGCTCTTATGGAGCACATGAAGCACACCCACAAGGATCCCAATGCCTCGGGCGTTGCCAGTAAGTATTGACACTTCGTGGTCTCCTTCGAGTCTCTGACATTCCTCCATTTCTTTAGCGTCATTCCGTCCTGTCTCTATACCTTTTTGCCACTCTCGTTCTCGTTGACTCTGCCTCTCGTCGTAGTACACTTGGGTGCCTGATGGTCGTACCCTGGATTTGCTATTTACAGAGTCCGTCTTACTTTCCTCGATTACAGTCTTGTTTCTTCTTCTTCTTCTTTTTCTTCTTTTACTTATTTGGTTACGTTCTTGTCTAACACGTCTTTACACTCTAACCGGGCTCTTCTTGGGTGCTTGTCGTCACTTCAGTAACGGGAAGTAAGAATGGATTTTTTCGTGGTACCTGTACGAAATGGAGGCCGATGAAGAGAATGATTATTTGAGGTTAAATGATGTAACTTACGGAGTCATTGTCAGAGACTCGTGATCAGTCGAAAGTGACGCCTGGACTTTTATCTTAAGTATATGACTTTATACTTAGGTTATTCCCAGACTTGCTTTGGCGCGGGCATACATGTCTCTTCGTATTCTCTTGACTAACCGAGCGTCCACTAATGACTAGTGCGCTGTAGGTCAGTTCTTGTTCCAGTCTAGATGCAAGTTTTTTAAAGAATAAAAAATTTCGTACTTGCCGAAAGATGATCTGGAAGATCATAAAAAATTGATCTTCGATATGTCCGATGAACTAGTCCGCGTCTTTAATCGAGGAACAAGAACTGCCTCGCACGCAGAGGAGCTTGCCGTCGTAATCTGGGGCGCTTATCCTGCTTGGCATTGACCTTGAAATTGTGTCCCCCTATTGTTCCTCCCGCTGACTGCACAACCTCCGTTGCCGGGGTTTACCTAGCGAAACGACGAACAGCCAACCACCCGTGCCCCGTGTGCGGAAAGCATTACGTGAACGAGGGTAGCCTCAGGAAGCACTTGGCCTGCCATCCTGAGACGAATCAACTAAGTACCAGCCTCAGAATGTGGCCATGTTCTGTATGTCAGGCAGTTTTCACTCATGAGAATGGTAAGTTGTTAAATTGGCATATCAGATAGATTTTATTAATTTGTGCCTACTTGATGTCGGAACTATTAAAAAAGGACCCGTCTCTTACATTTAAGGTCTCCTGAGTCATATGGAACACATGAGGATGGACCCGAAACATCAGTTCGCAGCTCAATACGTACTAAGTCGTGCGGCCGCAGAAAGACGTCACGCAGCCAGCTCCGGATTAGGTATCGATTTGACTATCTTGATTTATCCAAACGCGCTCCGATCTTTGCCCTTTTAACGTCATCCTGAAGTCTTCCTTGCAACATCCCCCGTAGAAGAGAACCCACCTCCTATCGTTGACACGATCCATGAACCATTCTGATGAGTCCCGGAAGGGCAAGGTAAGGTGGTACCTAACTGGCTGACACGGTGTGATTGTCTCGCTGTTCAGGAGCGGGCCTGGGCGGATTGGGAGGCCAATCAGGCGGGCCGCAGAATTTGCAGCAGCCACCGATGTGCCCGTCGCCTTCTGCGCAGTCGGACAGCAGTAGCGGTAACGGAAGATTGTCGTCAGCTGGTAGCGAACCTGGTACGCTACGTTCTCACTATTCTCTTCGTGAACCTAGAAAGTCTTTCCTCCGACCCCCCCGTGAACCCATTTGAAGACCGATTCCGTACCACTTTGAGGATTCCTGAAGTCCTTCTGGGTTTCTCTTTCCCAACCCCTGGAGAGCCTGAATAAGACCGTTAGAGCCCTCTGTCGTTTATTGATCAATCTGATTTGGATCGGAAGTCCACCGTATCAACCTAGTGTCTGCTTGATCTAATCTCAGGAAACGGCACAGGGTTCCCAAAGGCTTCTTCTACAGACTACCTTGATCATACTAAAGCGGACGTTCTGACGAGAGCAGATTTTTGCGCAGGCGCGGGGCTACTGAACAACAACAATAACAATAATAACAACAATATGGCCTCGCCCGGGCCAAGTGGCAACAAGCTCAGCGAGATGCTGCGCGCCGGCAGCCAACCAGCTTCCGCGCAACAGTATCACGAGGAGATGCAACAACAAAGAATGGCTGTGATGGCCGCTGCCGTTTCCGCCGGTAAGTAGAAGCGATTGCGCCATTCAGACTCGCCCACTACGAAGTTGAACCTCGTGACAATAAAAAAGGACGCTCTGGTTCCTCCTCGAGGCTGGTGGCTCTTGCTACAATGAAATCTCGTTTAGGATTGCAAAACTCGGTGTCGCCGAACTTGTCGCCGGTGGACGTGGCTTCCTTGGCGGCAGCGATGCGCATGGGTAACAACGGGGACATGAGCAGTGGTGCTCAAGGATCGACAGGACCTCAGCAGCAAGGAGTCCAGGCGTCTGGACAGGAGCAGGCACTCAGAATGCACCAGGCGGAAGCGCTGTTGCGTTCTCAGGCGGAAGCGGCACTAAGACTAGCGGTACGTCAGCGATCGGTCCTCGATTGTCTGCAGAGACTTTTTCTTTCTCCAGGAAACAAATAATTCTAATTGATTATCAGCTGTCGTTCATTCATTAATTCTTATTTGCTGAATCAATCCTTTCTTACACTCTAATGTATTTCGAACCGACTGGTTTCCAGATATATCCAAGAGCAAGTGCGATGCCTCTCCCCCTCTTCCATAACCTGTCTCTAGGATCCTCTTTCTCTCTCTCTCTCTCTCTCTCTCCATCTCTCTTTTCTATCTCTCGACCGTAACCTCGTCAACCAGGTGTCTCGCAAACACGTCTGAATCCTGTTCTTGCAGGTATCGCAGGCGGCAGCAGCCGCGGCGAGTTCCGCAGTGGGTGGCGACATGCGACACCACCTTGGGCAGCATAACGGTGGAGGAACGTCAGGAATGCCGGGACACCATTCGAACCAGCAACTGTCCCAGTCGGACACGTTATCTCCAGACCTAGGTGAGTATCGCTAAATTAATATGGCAATGATCCCGAAGGACGCTGAAGCAGGTGGTAATAACGTGGATTATTGTCCAGCAGGAGAGGCGTTACGTCTTCAGGAGCAGCGACTCGAGCAGGCCTTAAGGCTTCATGGAGATCCTCGCGCACTGGGTTTCACCCTCCAGCACGTGGTCAATCAGCAGAACAATCAGCAACCATGAAAGTTCAGTTACTACTGAGACGAGTGGACCCCTTGGGCACCGGAGACTGTGCCGTCCCTGCCGTCGTCGACGTTACAGTCTGCGACGTTGCAGTCGACGGCGCATCGTGACGTCACGGAGACCAGTACGAGTTCCGTGTGTCAATCAGGTGTTACCTCGACGCGCGAGCATCATACCGACGATCGTGGCATCAAGCGCAAGGCAGATCAGATGTCTGGCGATCTGAACGACGCGTAGAGATCGGAGCTCGAGGTACCGGAAGGGCTTTAAGACGAAAGAAGATTACGAAGAGGAGCGTCTTCCGTGCCCGTGAAAATAATTAAAGCAAAAGGGGGTCATTATCGAAATCACTCAGTGTCTCAGCAGTACGACGAAGCATTTGAAGTAAACAAAGTAAGCGAGAAGAGGATATTCGTGCAAGAGGAACGGGATGAATAATACTCCTCGAATCTATCGCCCCGTCGTGCCGTCGTGGATAACAAAAAGCCGCGACATGCCAGTTCGCAACGGACGATTATAATCGCGCGAAGTGACAGGACTGGTGATCGTCGGTCGCGCTACAAAAAGGGAACACTTTAATCCTTAATGATAGTGCGCGCCCTTCGATCGCCGGGATTAACGGTAGCATGGATCCGCGGCATCGCGAGCGCCGCCAAGTGTCAGATCCGCGAAACGTTATGAGGACGGGGTGAGTCGTTTGCGCAGCCCGAGGCGTCGTAAACGTCGTTACGGTGACAAGATATTTCGACGCTTCCCGACGACGCGCAAACGACGTCTCGGGCCCGAAACGTGCCATAAATAAGTAAGAAGACGAAGAAGCTGCTGCTAGAGCGGATGCGGATATCGCAATTGTTTTGCTATAAGCCGCGTTCCTCGTCCTCCACACTCCCCCCACCACACACACACCGCCAACACCTTAAAATCCCTTAACCTCATTCCCATGAACCGCATAATCAAGGTACTATGCTGCTAGTACAAGAGCCAATAGTCGAACGGTACAGACGCGGACGTAACGTTCATCCTTCGGCCGATTTCGGGCTCAACAAACTAAGCCACACTTAAGGTTCCCTTAATCTTACGTCCCCCCGTTAACGTTTAATTCGCGACTCGCGCGCCACGCGCGGGCGCCCTGAGAACTATTACACATTTCGAAACCTACACTTATCACATAAAGCGTATACGTATCCGGATATACGTAAAACGACGGAGATGAATTCGGCGATTTTACGATATGGAGAAAGAGCAACGGGTGGATAAGAGATGATGATATATAAATAGACATACTGCATGTGCACACATACGACACGTATACATATACATACATACAGAGAGAGAGACACGCGCGCAACTGTGCTCATCGTAGCACGAAAACTATTAGCTCGTAAGTAAACAAACAAAATATAATTATTACAAACAGTTATATATATATTATATATATACATACAAAATATGGGAGAATGCGCGCTAGAGCGAGGAGAAGCGTGAGTGGGAGTGAGAGGTGGCACACGCGCACGCGCGTCAGAGAGAGAAAGGACTGGAGTCGTGCGTGTGTGCGTGCGTGTACGTGTGACCGGGCGAAAGACAAAGATGCGCGAATGGGAGAGCGACTGTGAATGAGAGAGAAATGTAAAGTTAGTAAGAGCGAGAGGAGAGATAAAACTAAAATACTAAAATATTATATATATTATATATAAATATTATAAATAATGAATATAGGGTCTATGAAACTAGGGTAGTTAGATGAAAAAAAAAAGAACAAGGAGAGATGAAGGAAGGTAATGCGCGAGCGCGCATGCGCACCGGAATATCGCAGGTAGAGAAAAGAGATGAAAAATGTGTGTCTGCGAGAGAGATAGGAAGTTGGAGTGAGAGGCAGAAGAACGATGAGAGCGGGCGAGAGAGAGAGAGAGAGAGAGAGAGAGAGAGAGAGAGAGAGAGAGCGAGTGAGACTACGATTCTGAACGAGCGACTGTGCGTGTGTTTCAGGATAAAGACAGCAAGAGAGCGAGAGGGATAGTATGTTATGTATGCTGCTTGAAAGAGCGAGTGAAAGAGAGAGAAAGAGTGAGGAAAAAAGTAACGGAGAGAAAGACTTGAAAAGATTTTTTTCTCTTTCGATTAGGACAAACTTCAGATATATCAGTATGATTACGTGTGGATTAGAGTGAACCGTGGTAATCCGAGGCTCTGCGATTCTTGAATACGAAATCTGTCGTTCTTATTGGTCGATTAACGCGTAATGTTACATACCCGTTTCGTAGTCAGTAACGTGCCATTATAAAAGAGAGAACGACGTAAACGAGAAACAAGAAGACAATAGCGACAAGGCACAATAAAAGAGGGAACGAATGTCATTCTCGGGCGAATTCGTTTGTGCAATGCGAAAACCTTTTTTTTTATATTTGACAAAGTGCGAGTGCATTTATCGAAGGCTTTTCGATTTCCGGGATTGCTCACAATGAGCAGGAAATTATCGTAGGGAGAGTACGAGGGCAGAAGTTATTACAGAATGTCAGTGTATTTAAATTCAATGTGGAAAAATATGACGCGTCTAAGCTCTTTCTCTTCGTATCAATAATCGCGGGACCGAGGAGCATCGTGTGAATGTTGTATTCAGAATGTAAAAGTTATTCAATCAAGGACAATCGTGATTATCGATCATCGCGGGATCTATCGTATTCCCCCCCATCATATCATACCTTCACCCCACTTGCTACTCATTATTTCATTTTTTTTTTTCGTCACTGGCGCCAACTAGTGGCCAACGCACGAAACTTCCAGCCTATTGAAATAATGCGGCGTTACTTCTTGAAATGTGTGCAATTTTTGCTATCGGATAGACAATTTTACGTAGTCATTTCATGTATCAATCGTGATTAAGTGTAGCTAAGGGAATTCATCGTGGAAGCTACGTTTTATAGTGTCGTAAAAAATTGTAAATCACGGAGAAAATGAAAATGATGAAAAACGGTTAGAAAAGATTTCTTGTCTGCAATACTCTAGAATTATTTTGTATTGTCAATTTTTCAGTGAAATATGTAAATAACTGATATTGGACACGGTGTTTGGTTTCTCTTATTCCAAACGAAAACAAAAATTATGGTTAATACTGATGCGAGACCAAAAAGATACTGCATTAGTCGTTTGCGAAAAGTCTCTTGGTTCGTATTTTCTGCAAGACACTTCCGTATTAAAAAAAAAAAAAGCATTCGCGAAAACAACGCACACGGCATTGCGATGAATCGTATAGCTATAACGTATAGAGCACGGTAAAGAATATGAATAATTAAAAAAAATCTTGTCTCCGTTAAGGGAAAAACAAAGAACCACAACGTATAAACTGACATCCGCTATCAGGCTTAGGGACCAAAAAACCGCACTTCCGGTTACGTTGTGGTATTCCGTTTCTGTCGCTCACACCCAAGAGATCGCCCGGATAGCTCTTGGTATCTTAGTTGCACTTTTTTTTTTCAATTTCACTACTTACTCAAAATCTGTCAAAATTTCAACTGACAAGTACGCGAATTCTTCGGGGAGACGCGAGAGAGCCGCGGTGTTCACGAAACACCTGCCCAAGCTATTACACTGCACGATTCGACTTATGAAAATATGATGCTGAATTGTCTCACAAATTAAAGGAGTGGGAGTGATAGAGTGAGAGAGAGGGACAGATAGAAAAAGAAAAGAAGTTAAAAAAAGTGCGAGAGAATGCAATAGGAAAAACGATATAGGTCAGACAAAAGCAATTTTTCAAAATACGTGTACATGATTGAACGTAAGAGTGAACGAAAGAGAGAGACTGTGCGTGTGAATGTGATAGAGTGGATGAAGGAGGGACAGAGTTAACGAGAGAAAAGAGAAGAATGGATAGAGAGAGAGAGAGAGAGAGAGAGAAAGAGAGAGAGAGTGGGAGTTAAAGGTCAATTTGATAGAGAAAGATTTTTGGATGTGAAGTTTCGCGATCCTAGGTAGCGTGAGATTTGTCTTATCGAGTGATGATGTTAACGGAGCCACGTTGAGTTTTTCGCAATTTTTGGATCCTCGGTTTTCTCGGTCCCTAAAAGGAAACTCGAATTAAAAAAGAAATGATACGATTAAAAGGAATGATTAAATGTGCAAGAACAATCGCAAGAAGACACGTCAAACTCCTTCGTGACAGCCATTGAAACAGTCAACAGACAACATTTTGAACCGAACAGACGGGTCGATACTTTGGACTGGACCAAAGTGTCTGTCAATCGATTATCTCGGGTCTCCATTACTTTCCCAGGATAACCGATCGGCCGAACATTTCCGGAAATATCCGAATGATCGTCCCTCCGTTTCGGGAACGTGTACAATATTTAAACTAAACGCAAATACAATAGCTCGTAGTGTATGTTCTGTAATCGATGAAAAGATAAAAAAAAAGAATGGCGGCCGACAGCGTCACGCCGCGCGCGCGAGTGCGGTGGCGGTCGTATAAAAAAAGCACAAAAAAATTTACAAATATATTGATTTACATATGCCCGTAACTCGTAAGGGGGCCCGATGACGTAGCAAGGCGAATACGCGCGATACACGTGATAAGAAAGCTGTGCGAAAATAAATGAAAGGAGAGGGAGGAAAACAAACGATAGAGAGGAGAAAGCTGGTGGCAAGGAAGTGACGCAAGAAAACGGTCGACACCGAAACGTCCGCCACCGGATGTTGCCGTATCACTTCCTGTCCCAGGAACGAATCGATGACAAGGGACGCTGCTCGTGTCCTTTGACTATGACGACTTGATCGTGATCGCATCGCGATGCTGCTATATCGGCCCTGCCCATAATTTTAATCTCTTCATGTAAATTGCTAAATGTTTATAACTAAAAAAAATGCCATAGCCCGGATGCGCTGGTGCATACTCCCAGCGCATACACACTCACAAATACGACTCGACCTTGATTAACGTAAACCGTTGAAATGATAATTGATTGACAACGTCATGCAACAATATTATATACAGATAATACAGAAAGCACACCAGACCGAAGATTTTAACGACGCCCATAATTACACGCAAGAGAAAAAAAGCCCTGGTTCTCAACCAGGGGCGTGCAACCCCGCGCGCCCCGCGTACACATTCTCATACACGGGGAAAAAGTATCGATACCTTCGATACGGACTCCCTGCACGTACTTTAGTACACACCCGTTACACTTACAGATATACACACTTGTTACACACGCTACGGATATGTAAAGCCAATTGATTTTGTAAATTGCCCAAAAAAGTTTGTCCAATCACAAAATTCGATTAACGATTAGATCTCTATACGGTGAAAGATTTGGAAGTTTGCCCGGGAAATTCAAAAGATGAAAAATTTATATAAATTTTTGCCGATAATAAATCTGTCAATCGACCGCATCGATAAGGAACAGAGATTCGATGGAATGATCTAGAGAAGAAAAAATAAACGAAGGAAAAATTGATAAACGAAGAAATATAATAGGACCATTAGGTTATCGCGGCCTTTCGTACATTTTTTGAATACAGAACCGATAAATACTTCATTAATCACGAACTATGTCCAGTAAAAGAAAAATCCCGGATTTGACGATAACAACCCTATTGGCAGGTGACGTGGTACGAGTGCTTTGCGTCAGTAACGATAATTGATAATTAAAGGAAAAAATGAAGGTGATTGAAGATTAACGGGAGAGAAATTAAAGATACAGAAATGTCATGATAATGTAGAGGAACGGCTGACGACAGATGCACCTATGTGAAACGTACCTTAACGCAAATTACCTGCCTACAGGATATGAAACGCAACGGCATAACAGGGCCGTTGTTCGAACGATTTTACATACAAAAATAACCTTTGTTTTCTATCGGGTTTTAATTTTTTAATGAAATAATCTACAATGGATATATATTGTAATGCGCAGCATAATGAACAATGAAAACCGACAGTCTAGCAGTGCGAGCGCCTCGGCAAGGAGTCGCGTTTTCACGCGGCGACTGCGACCCGAGCCTCCGTATTTACAAACCGGAATAAGTTGTTTAAATGTCCACTATATAACGAGAAGCTATAGTTATAAGACGGTGGGTCTGCGAGTGTTCGCCAAACGGTTTCGCCGATTGCGCACGAGACGCGATGGAGAATGAAAAATGCAAAAAGCCAAAAGATCAAAGGGCAAAAAAGTAGCGGCGAAAAAAAGTCTTAGACGAACACCTGCAAAGATCTTTGAAGTTGGCGATCACAAAAAAAATCAGATACACGAAATGAGAAAATCTTTGGGAAAATAGCAAAACTTGGAAAAGAATCATAAGAAAAAATGGATAAAATTGAATAAACCTTAAGAAAAGAAAAAAAGAACGAATCGTATCGACGCAAGACCCACCGTGTCGCTTGCCGCCGTTTTTCGCGATTTAGCAATCGCGGAACGGCCGCCGGCGAGAAATAATTTTTCAGAATATTCTCCGAAAGTCTCGTTTTTATTTACAACAGGAATGTGTTTCTTCACTTACCCCGAAGAAGTGTTATTCTCCGTATGCGAGTCCGAGGGTCTGAACCGAGTCCGTATTGATGTAAAGGCGATTCGAATTGCGCGCCCTTTTTCATCCAACCAACGCTCGATGGTTGGAGATATTCGAATTGCATTGGCCAGTCGTTCACGTTACAGAAATTCTTAAAGACAATTAAAACCAAACAATGCCTGGTAGTCTGACATGTACAAGAGGCAAGAAAATAAATTTGAATCTTACCCAAAATCCCGCGCGCCGATCGCCGCCATAATTATTGCCAAATGTCGAAGTAATGTATATCCGCATAGTGGGTGCCTTCGTCAGGGTTTTCCGTTACAGTGACAGAACAATTCTCCGTATATCATGCAATTACTAGAGCTAGTAGAAACAGTAAACAGTAACCACAGTAAACAGTTAATACGTAAGTATAATGGAAACGCGCCGTCGTCTTTTCAGTGTTTTGCTCGTACTTGCCGCGAAAGCGCGCGCGGTTTGCAATGCATCGGAAATGCAGATTTAATTCATTCGTATTAATTCGTTAGGATCACTTTGTGAAAAAATAAATCAAATTCAAAAATCTACTCGGCAGCTGCCAAGTTTCATGGAAGCAGGTCTCGAGTCATCGATCGAAAGTCATGAAGAATCATGAAATATTAGGTTAACGTGAAAATTCGTCGAAATATTCTTCCAGGCAAAAATTCGAATCCGCGCTGTGCCGCGTCGCGCATGCGCGTTACGAGTCAGTATGATAATAAATGTGCTAAGTGTTTGTAGTTTAGCCAACATACGTTGTATATTCGATAGGAAGACGATGATAACAGTGCAGCCGTATTTAAATGATATTAATTAACTGTATCCATTGTCAAGTTGACTTAATTAACGTAATTAACACACACATATATTGTACCGTATTCGAGTAAGAGCAATATTCAATCGCGGAGGCATTCACTACGGATTTTGAGGACACGACTCGGACGCGAATCGGAGGATACGTGATCACGTGACGGGTGTCGCGTCGCGATAATAATTTCAAAGAAATTGATTGATTGACAGACGATCGCAGCGGATGGATAATCGTACGAGAGCCAATTAATCCCCGTAGGCGATCGATGATAAGAATGTGAGTTATTAGCGACGGAATGCGACGCGACGCCCGACCCGTGTTCGTACTCGTAATTTTATTTATTCAAGTGTTTCAAATGCAGCCTTGAGTTTCTTCACTTATGGCGTTGCTTTACCACAATACAACCACCCTTAAAGCCACTCTCAGTATCCCCCATGATTACCAAACACACAACCCCCATGGTAAACCCCATCAAGGAATTCCCAAGTTTACATACGCGTTGTTCTAGTTCGTTCACAATTACGTTACGTCACAGGTACGTCGCAGGTACGCGTCGGATTCGTGCATTAAGAATCGATTTGAAAAGTTGAAAATAATCAAAACCAAAATTTGAATATTTAAAGGTACGAAGAGTATTACGGATATTTATTCCAATTTTTTAAAATGTATTTGTGCTCAAAAAAGATGTATGGATAGTTGAAAAAAAATACGAAAAAAAAAATCGTGTTAACTTCCAAAATCAACGATTTTCTACAGTCTTCCGAAGTATGAGAAAATAAGTGATGACGTTTATTGGGTCGTATAACCCATACGCTTTAGCTTGAAGTTATTTACGCTTTTGAATGGTGGGATGGAGTTGGTCTCGTTTAACAAAAAAAAAATGTAGGCGTCACCCATTAAAGGCGCAGTCGTAGTCGGCGACGGGGCGTACCTGCGCGCGCTTTCGACACTTCGAACGTTAAGTTTCGTAAACTTTGTCAGACTTTTTACGTGCAGTTAGTTACCAGGTTAACGGCGCAGATGATTATTACTAATTTTTGAAAATGCGCTTGCCCGTCACGACGACTCACGAAATTTTTAATGTTCGGTCACGATTGTATACGAAGATACAGAAATTTATGGAAACTGAAGAATCGGATAAAAATAATAAACAAAATTGAATAAAAGATCTTTTTGCCGATTCTCAATGATGCCTAATGATCTCTTGTCGTCGGGCGAGCCAGCGCGAGCTTTAATGGTATCAATTTGCGTTACGTCAAAGTCCCCTTTTGGGCAGAATTACACTGGCGTATTTTAAACGGTCCCGTAAGCCCAGCGCAACGTCAACCTTTAATCGCGCGAAAGTCATAGTATGAACGTTAAATCTCTATGGGAGAGAGAGAGATCGAATGTTTAGCTAAAGAAAAAAAAAAAAAAAAAAAAGAATGAAAGTCAAAAA